AACATCTTGACACCATCCAAGATACTCTATCCAGAGTGGAAATCCTTCTAACAGCACTGAAGGACTCAAGGACAGTCTTTAACCAATTTGTCCATTCCTCACTAGAGATAGAGCGAAGAAATAACAATCTCAAAAATGTCCTCGAGACACTCTTTGACGACCAAAGCTCTGAGGAAGACCAGTCAGAATCTGACAATGAAGAAGTTCTAACTCCTTCTGCAGCACAGTACTGGAATAGCCTTTATGCCCACGCCTTATCTCCTTCAGGAGATGAAAGTGAAAGATCATGGGCGTCCTCAGACGGACAGCTTGAAAGAAGAAGGGCTGAAAGGGCAAAGGCTAAGCAGCCACAACCGGCTAAAGCCAAGGCAACTCCAGTCAGCTCACAAGCTGCGCCAAAGGCCGAGCCAAAGGCGACAACATCCAACCATGGATATGATACTGCAGCCGCCGCCTTCACCAGGGCTGAGAACAGACTACTCGGAATTTATTCAAGTTCCGAAGAAGATCACTCAGACCCGGATGAGCCACATCCGAACGTCTACGCTCGAGCCTATGATCCAAACCTGGATCAAAATCTGAGATAAGGAAAATCTCGGAGTTTCACAACAGTGACTCACAAAGCTCTAACAAGAGCAAAGTGAAGGGCTGCATAATTCGATGTAGAAAATATCACCAGACATGATCTTGTACAGACGATCTCTCTGACCAACATGCATGAGTGTGTACAAAAGGAGTGTCCTCAGCAGTGTACTTCAGTGCTATACCTAGCTTAAATAATATGCTGTTTTCATCATGAGTCCAGACTCCGCAACTGTGACAGTGGGCATAATAGTATATGTGTTAATGTGCGGCCATGCTTCCGGTAAAAGAAAATTAGTGTCTGTTTGAAACCATAAACCTCTAAAGGGGTAGCTCTAACAGGTACCTACAGCAATGGCTGCCTGCTCATACATATACATTCCGCTGCCCATTGGCTCACAGTGGTTTTACCATATTGAGACAAGACAAGCTCTCCTTGCGTAGCAAGACAAAACAACTACTGTCCGTGTGCAGGGCGCTGCCCTTTGATCCTTAGGGAATAACTGGTCATACACCTCCTAACAAGGAGTATTCCTTGTGGGTGTATCGGCACAGGGGGCTTAAAGGGGGGCTTAAGGGGGGCTTAAAGGGGGGCTTAAAGGGGGGCTTAAGGGGGGCTTAAAGGGGGGTTTAAAGGGGGGCTTGAAGGGGGCTTAAAGGGGGGCTTAAGGGGGGGCTTTAAGGGGGGCTTAAAGGCTTCGACCCTTTGCCCCCCCCCTGTTTGCGTAAACCTCTAAAGGGGTAGCTCTAACAGGTACCTACAGCAATGGCTGCATGCTCATACATATACATTCCGCTGCCCATTGGCTCACAGTGGTTTTACCATATTGAGACAAGACAAGCTCTCCTTGCGTAGCAAGACAAAACAACTACTGTCCGTGTGCAGAGCGCTGCCCTTTGATCCTTAGGGAATAAACTGGTCATACACCTCCTAACAAGGAGCATTTCCTTGTGGGTGTATCGGCTCAGTTTTCTGGTAGCGGAGCCCGGAAAGGGCCGCCCGCCTCCCAAAGTCCGCTACAGCGGTCGGCCTCGCCGAACGCTTAACCAAGCGGATAAGAGGCAGCACCATGTCGAGCTCGCATAGCGAAGCCGACGGCAGTTCCCAATCCTCCGGGGGATATGAGAACGAAGAGACCTCCCAAGGTCCAGCTACTTATGTCGCACATTCATATGCAACATCTGACCGCATGCTTGCATCATTAGGCATAACGCCCAAGATCGCGCCTGCCTATGATGGCACCACCTCGTGGTTTGAGTATGAACAGTTGATTGACGACTGGTGCGACATAACAACGCTGGATGACACCAAAAGAGGTCCTTCTCTCAAGACGAGGCTCTCCGGATTGGCCGCAGTACAAAAGGAATCACTGAACCGAGAAAGGCTTGCAGCCCCAGATGGAGTAGATTACTTCAAGAAGAAGATGCGTCCATTTTTCGTGAAAGGAGAACAGTACGTTTTCCTGTGGCGTTTCCTCGGCCTATTCAAGGCATGGAAGGGCAACCAAGACTTTGTGACTTGGATTGCCAAGTTTGAGATCGTGCTACAGCGCGTGAAAAACTCATGGATGGATCTCTTACCAGAGATAGCTCTGGAGGATGCCCATCCAGATTTCATGCAAGCTGTGCAGGCAGACCAAACCTTCTTGCGCATGCAGGATGCAGCCGAGAGAGACACATATGCCGCACGCTATTTCGAAACATGGAACAAGGAACGCCTTGACAATCATCGAAGAGCGTTTCCTCTGAACGATAATCTCCTAGCTCTCCTCTTCCTAGTGCAGTCCGACCTAAATGAGATGCAACGTGAGAGGTTGGTAACAGCATTGACCAACCAAGGTCACCGAATTGAGACCTACACGTACCCTGTGGTACGGCAGACCATGTTCGATCAGTTCTCAACGACCAGAACTGGTCTGCAGGATCCCAACATTCGGCACTCTTCTCACAAGAAGGACCGCCATGGAAGGAGAGACCAACGCCGCAAACGCGGAGGTCGAAACTTCCTCATCCTCGATCAGGGTGAATACGATGGAGTCGATGGATTCTGGCTCCAAGACGAAGACACCCTTGAGGCAGGCTTTCTTGCCGCCGAGGATGAAGAAGCTGTCTTCTGGACAGTTGATGACCATGAGGCCTTCGTTGCAAGGAGATTCAAAAAGGGAAGAAGACCAAGAATGCGTCCCGAATCACCGGGAAGAGCAAAGGGTGGCAAGCGAAAAGGACGTGGCCGTTTTAGGTCATACCGCGGAAAAGGGAGAGCCAACCAGGCAGAACATGATCCAACTGATTCCAGCTATTTCGGTAAAGGTAAAGGAAAGGAAAAAGGAAAAGGTGGAAAAGGCAAGGGAAAAGGAAAGGACAAAGGAGATAAAGGAAGCTCCTTCAAGGGCGCAAAGGCAAAAGGCAAAGGTAAGGATACAGCTAAGTCTGCCTCCTTACAAGGAGACCAAACTGGATCGCCACAGGCCTATGAGAGTTCCACCGCACCGAGCTGGGATTCATGGTATGAGGACAGTTATTATACTGACTCCAGTTGGAATTATGCCGCTTATGACGATCAAACGTCTTATACATACTATGCATCACAAGCCTCACGAAGAAAAACACGGAGAAAGAAGAGAAGAAATCAAGCAGGATCATCAGGTAGAGGCACAGATCCGAGCTCGCACCAAGAACCCGTGTTCAACTCATCAGTGAGTTACGTGCCCCAGGTCTTTGAACCATCCGAGGGGCAAGGTGTTGAAACTGCAACAGCGGTGTTTCCGTTGCAGCACACCGTCCTATCTGCTCTCACAGAGCGGATCAATCGTGATAAGAACCCTACCTTTGTCATACTTGACTCAGGTTGTACTAGGGCTATGGGTTCCCGCTATGCGGTGAACAGGCTTATCAAGGCCGTGAAGCAACGTGCCCCAGGCATGATTGATTTCACTTTCTCACCTTCGAACACGAAGTTCTCTTTCGCAGATAGTGAAACATCTCTTATCAAGGAGCGTGTAACTCTATGGTTCAACACAACTCCAAGAAGAGATACAACCATCGAGGTTCTGGATCAGGGGAGAGTTCCCATTTTGTTCTCCATCGAACAGATGAGGAATCTAAGAATGACCCTCGAGTGTAGTCCCACAGCTGACCTCGCAACGTGTGAAGCTTTCGGTTTGTACAAAACCCCCCTTCCGATTAGTACCAATAACCATTTGGTATTGGACCTTCTAGGCTTCACTTCCACCAGGAAGTATCTCCCTAAGTCAGGTACGTCGTTCAGTGCGACGGAGACTGCGCTAGGAGCTAAGAAGCCAAAGGAAGAAAGAAGATCTTATACTAAGATCCCGGAAGGTCGCTGTCCAGCCTGCGCAGGACAGAAAAAGCCTCATACGTTCCTCAAAGGTTGCGACAAAGCACCTGAAGGAGCAGCTGATCCACCACCGAAAGGCATTCCAGGTAAGAAGAAGCCTCTTCCATCTGATCCGGCAGAATCATCTGCCAAGAAACCTGATCCACCAGAACCATCTGGTGATGCTCCTGAGCCTTCCGAACCATCGGAACCATCATCAGGCTCTAGAGACAAACCTGCAGAATCCTCTGCACCGCACGAACCTCCAGAAGAAGAAAGACTTGAGGTTCCACCTGCGAAGACAAAGACTCCAAAGGGTCTTAAAAAAAAAAAAAAAAAAAAAAAAAATTAAAAAAAAAAAAAAAAAAAAAAAAAAAAAAAAAAAAAAAAAAAAAAAAAAACAAAAAAAAAAAAAAAAAAAAAAAAAAAAAAAAAAAAAAAAAAAAAAAAAAAAAAAAAAAAAAAAAAAAAAAAAAAGAAAAAAAAAAAAAAGGGCGGCTTCTGAAGAAAACCCGCAAATATGCGGTCAAACCTCCTGTTGAGGAGAAGTCTATGGTCCCAGGAGCTGATG